CCACAGTTTGAGAACCACTGCATTTAAGTAATGGCTTTGTTAAGGGTTTATCAATCCATTCGTAATGTTTTTAGATCCAAAGATGAATAAAAAAAACTTTTGTGTTACCAGTTTGTGAAAAATCCACATCTAAATACTTCTATTGGAGAGTGAGAAAATGTTTTTGTTTGTGTAATTTGGTGAACTAACCCTTTAAATTATAGAATTTGTGCATGACATACATATTATATACAAAATACATGACATACTAAACAACTATACAGAACTTATAATGTAATGCTGTATGAAATCTCCATAACGGGTCCACAGTAATGTCAGAATGCACACAAGCAGTGTCACGCTTTATATACAAATACTGTAACGTGTACATATTTTTTCTAACCAGGTGCTATTTACATTGTGTATTTAAATACGTGTGATTTGAATCCAGTTGGAAACCATGTGAGTGTCCAACGACTAGAGTAGAGTAGAGTGGAGCTGCCGGCAGAGACGGGAGGAGAGGGGACGCTCAGCTATTCAGGACAGTTTGCTCCATCACCTGCGTCTTCATCTGAAACAACAACGCAAATACACTGTCAATTATTAATCTGGTACATAGTATATATATTTACATAAAGACTAGTAAAGATTTTTTATTTGACAGTAAAGAAGAGTGATTGCAGCGATTTCCTACATAAATCATCTATTTTTACACTGAAGCGTTTCCCATAAGAACTTTCATTATTTACTATAATAGAATGATGGGATGAATAAGCAAGAAACCAAGTGTATATGTTTTCTAGGTTTATTTTTAATGTTATGCAGTTGTCGTTTGGATGAAGAGGGGGAGGCACTACGCTGTTGGTCGCAGGAGGTGCTGACTACCATGAAAGTTCCAGTTGCGCTTTAATAAAAGATCTGGACTAGTTTGGATCTTTGGTTATGTTTAGGTTTATGTCAGTGGTGTTTCAGATGAAATGTTCGTGGGTTCAGGTTAATACCGGAATGGATATAAGTCACCTAATTACTGTTTATCTAGATTTCTCCAGTAAGTACATTTTAAATCATTACAGAACTTAAGTTAATAGATTTTGTGTATATTTGAACTTGTTGTCCTGTTAAGACTGCACTGCATTCTGGACCTGGTTTACATTCAAAAACTCTCAATAG